AACCTACTTCGAGGGTAGTATTCCCATCCATATTCATCTTAAGATCTACCCTTAGGAAATACTACTGAGGTCGTTGAGCATAGTGCTGAGGTACTCTGGTGATTCTGCCATAATAATTATATGGTCGGCAAATTGAAAGTGAGTGACGTAGGTATTTGCTATTGATAGTAATAGCGTATCCTTTCCAGTCTAGTAGCTTAGAAAGGTCTTCCAATACAACGATGAAGTTTCGAGGATATAATGTCACTTTCTCTCAAACTCCCAAGACGAGGGTGCGTTTTTAAGTTCTAAGTGGGGACGTCGCTGAACTACGTACTAATTGAGCAACTCATTATTAGTATAAATACCGGGTTTTATTGTAATTAGATCATTAGTCTTTGAGTTATAGTCAACCAAACAAGTCAATCGGGAAGAAATTGTGAAATATCGAGAAAATCTAGTTCCGTGCGGTTATAAAGTTCCTTAAAGAGCGCGGAAAATCAGTTCAGATTATACTGGAAGAGATGTCATTCGTCTACGGAGATTCATGTCCAAGTAAAACTATGGTTTACAAGTGGCATACCCTTTTTAAACAAGGAAGAGAGTCGCTTGAAGACGACCCACGGCCAGGAAGGCCGACCGAGATGACCACTTCGGAAATAATTCAAAAATATTGCCACCATCGGTTCCGTTCTCCAATCAAAAAGGTCATAGTCTTTCCTTGTGCTTAGTTTTGCGTTGAAGTCAACAAAATATGATGAGTTTTAGAGGAACTTTCTTTCTCTCTAACTTTCTAAACTTCTATTAGTATAGATTTCACTATTCCTTCGAATCTGTCTTGCAGAGACAGATTCTTCCCACATTTTCTTAGATGTAAAATAGCGGAAAACGATTTAGCACAGCAGCAGTAGCAGCAGGATGCAGAAAGTTTCAAAATACGGTACATTAGTTATCTTTTTCTGCAGTGACTGCCAAGTACACCTTCGGCTGCATGTTAGTAGATTCTAGATATCACGATAAAGTAGGTACTTGAAAATAAAAAATTGTTCTTATGGAGCTGATCAAATAATGTATGCTTCGAAATATTCTGCGCCAACGAAGTTTACCACTGTCAATGGTTTAAACAAAACCCAAAGGATTAAACAATTATCTTTAGTATTTATTTAACAATTACTTATAATATCTTTATATATAAAAATTACGTGTCACGTTGTTTGTCCGCGATGAACTCCTAAACTACTGAACTGATTTCCATGAAATTTTGCACACTATGTGCACTTTGGTCCAACTTGAGAGATAGGATAGTTGTTATCCCGATAAGTAACCCTCAATTTTTTTTATTGCTAATTTCTGGAGTTTTTTTTAGGAAAGCAAATGGTCGTCGGAAAGGGCAGAACAACTTCTGTCTGGTCAGCTAGTAAACTATAAATTAAAACTAAACTAAGGGGCCACACGATAAGTACCAGCTTTCAAATAAAAAAAGAATCATCGAAATCGGTTCACCCAGTAAAAAGTTATGGGGTAACACACACATAAAAAAAACATACAGTCGAATTGAGTACCGTCTCCTTTTTGGAAGTCGGCAGAAAAGGTGTAAGCTCGTTTCTTGAAGAATCGCAATGAACGAAATAATGAAAAATCGCCGACGGTAAACGATTCCACCAAGAAGTTGTGCGTAGAAGAGAACTAATAAGTCCAACAGTAGTGGACCGTCAAACATCCCGATGATGTGGATTTGTGAAATGCGTTGATGTAATTTTGTGGCTGGAATCAATCCGAACAATTCCTTTGAACACTCCCAGTGGCAAATGAGATAGAAAATGCAAAGGATGCAACATCTCTTCGTCTCGTCTTTCGTCTTCATCGGTGGTCAACGATTCGAACCGCTCTGCGACTGGATGCGGGCAAGTGCAAGGAGCTGGTACTAGGGAGCCCCGGCTCAGGGATGAGAACAGTATTCCATGTTAAGCCGAACCTGCTCCTTGTAAAGTGGCAAGCAGTGTGCCGGCATAAAATACTGTCCCGCTCAGCTGAACACGCCAAGCTTTTCTGCCGACTTCCAAAAAGGAGCCGGTACTCAATTCGACTGTATGTTTTTTTTTTTTTCGTTTTTTTTTTATGTGTGTTACCTCAGAACTTTTTTCTGGGTGAACCGATTTCGATGATTCTTTTTTTATTTGAAAGCTGGTACTTCTCGTGTGGTCCCATATGAATTTGATCAAGGTCAGACCAATAGTTTTTAAGTTATTCTTAAATAACTTATATTGAAGTCGGCTGTACAAAATTTTTAATTTTAAATTATTAGAGGTCAATTCAGTCTTTCCTTCCAAGTAACCACGAAACTGCACGTTATTCGATTCCGATCTGGCTGAGGTAATAAGGGAAGTGCCCTGAAATTGAGGAGTTACGATAAAGGGTTTCCTTTTAGTGGTAAAAGCGCAAACTTATGTCTTCTGGGCATTAAACTTAGTTAGATTTAGTCGCCCCAATCCGAGTGTTCCTAATCCTTGTGGAACACCAGCATATATACGCTTGTAAATGAAGCATGCACCTTCTACTACGACTTTGTTGCTCCAACCTGCAAGAAGCTGATCCAGTTGCACAAATTCTCGGGAAGCCCATAGGAAGGGAGCTTCGAAAGAAGCGCTTTGTGCCAAACCCGATTGAAGGCCTTCGCTATGTCTAAGCTAACGGCTAGGGTCTCCCTCTCTGACTCCACCGATTTATGAGTCAGGTAAGCAGAAGATCACAAGCTGAGAAACCCCGACGGAAATCGTACTGGCGGTCACTTTTCTGTAGGTGATCCTCCACAATGGTTTTAATTATTTTGGAGAACACGTTGGATAGGTCTGAGCGGTCGACTTTTCGGTTATCTTTTAGGGATCTGGTGGACTAAAAATTAACGTGCTGTCTTCTTTAAGTTTGGGACTACGCCTAGGGAGAAAGAGTTATAGAAAAGACACGTTACGACCGGTGCCAACTAGGGAGCACACGTCTTCAGCACAATGGAAGGAACTCCATCAGGCCCACTCGACTTGACGTCTAGACAGAGTACTGTTATGCGCACCGGGCGCTGTGTAAACCATATCGTACCGAACTGAAGGCGAAATTATACTTCTTTTTAACAGCGCTGGTGAAGCACTCCTATCATAGCGCGATGCAATTTTACAGGAGCGACCAAACCAGGCACCACAGATGATAGAATAAGGAGTTCCATTCCCTCAAGTACCGCATCAGCGACAAAATCACGTTGGGATTATCCGGCGAGAAGCATACTCGCCCCTGTCTTCAAGGGAAGAATGAAAAAAAATCGCCCGATTTATAGTGCCAAACACAGCGGCGATTTGCAGAACGCAACCGCGATGGAAGTGTGAGTGGCACCATAGAACGGATCAGACAATGGTCTAATGAGCCAAGACCTGATATCCAGTCACATATCCGTCAGTGAGGGGTCAGCAGAAGGTCCAACAAGGAAGGTGCACGATCTCTGCAGATGGGACCCGTTGTAGCAAGGAGTCTGCAGCGATTTGGACGTGGTCGATGAGTTGGTCTGTGCCGGCATTACCTATAGAGTCACCCGTAGACACGAGAATGGTCGTCTCTGACCTTCAAGACTGCCGCGACGTAGAGAACAGATGTCCTTTCTAACGTATACGCAAACTCTAACCCCAGGCACAGAGCGTCTGGTCTTGCGTCTTGGTTAGAAAGAGCAAGGTCGGCTTCGCCGTCCTTGATCCCCTGATGTTGCAGAAATTCACGGATAGCGTGGCAGGGGTCTGTCTTATTGTCCTACTAGCCACGAGCAATGTTCAGTCTAACGCGGAATTTAGCCTGAGCACCCGCGCTAAGCAAGGGTAAGATAGCTTGGGTATGGATGCTCAGCCAGGGATTCTCCAATACCAGAGGTGCTGGTACCCTCCTCCGATGGTTTCTGATTTAATTACTTAGTAGTAAGTAGCTTTGCTTTATTATGCCCTGCAGTGGGCGACAAGGAGCTGATGATGAAGTAGTTTTGCACCTTTAAAATATTTAATTTAGTATAAATAGGGCCCCAATTTTATTTTTGCCCTGGGGCCCTTGGTCACATAGCTACGCCACTGGCTACGCTAGAAAAATCGGTTCGCAAAGGATCATGTTTAAGAAAACTTCAATACTTATTTATAAATTTATTGTTGAAATACATTTAAGTAACTATATAAACATGGATCTTAATGTCAATTGTTCTAAAAGGACTCCACAGTTATTCTTAAATTAAAAGATCGTGACGTTGCGGTCACTTCAAAAATAACCACATTTAAACTTGAAGATGATTCCGACATTAATGTTATAAATAAATTAAACAACCGCGCGAAGGAAACTCCAAGTGAATGCCTAAAATAAGTCCAGCTCATGGCTTCACAATGTAATAACTATTTACATATGGATACATTACATTATGTTCCATGTTTATCCGCTGTGACAATATGTTGAACATTTGGATGAAAAAGTACGAAACGTCCAAAATATTCAAATTCATATTATTTATAGGCCTGTCCACAGACCTAAGGAATGTTAGCTACATGCCTTTTTAAAATTAAGAATAACAGTGACCTGTTACTCGTGGAGCATTGGCAGATTTATCTTCTTATTTCTTTTATAATATCATGACTCCAGAGTATGAATGGACTATTAAGTTATACTTGCATATTTAAAAGACATAATATAATATTCGACGATCGTTGTTTACAAGTTTGAGCAATAACCAAACGGTTTTATTAAAATGGATTTGTAATGGTTGAAAGTAAGATTTTTTTCTTATCATGTTATGTATGACAATTTAGTATTTTTTTAATTCTCAATAATATTATTTCCTCATCGATAATCTTAAGATTGGTTCAGACATATATTTTGTATAACAAAAGGACTTTACATTTTTCTGTTTTCAGCGATTGTAGCATTATACAAAGCTGCACTATAGTCTCGGGTATGGGGGTGCTATTGACATTTTTTCTCACCAAAAGATGTTGGAGAATTTTGTTTTTGCAAATTGTGGTTTAGAGTATTGTATGTGACGATATTTTACAAATAACTGACGCTAAGTCTATACCCACAATGCTCGAGGTGCGACATTACTAATTATATAAATACATAGGATTTTTGTTAATATATCGTCAGTTAATGTTCCATAGTGTTCTTACAATATTTACACAGATACTGTGTCGATGCAAATATGCTTTAAATTTTTGGGTTGTCTTTGCATGTTGTGCTGTATGTAACTTTAATTTCGAAAACGTTATTGTAAAATTGGTCTCACGGTTCGCGATGGTGTTAATCCGTTATATAAATTAAGTAGAAACTATTCCTTAGACAAAAAATAACACCATAAACTTACTATAAAAACACAAACTATCTGTTACATAGAATGCAACAACAAAACTATGAAATACGCGTTACTTATAATAAAATGCACCTATTTATAACTAGGAACTATTATGAGTTTGATATTGATTGATGTACAGCTAAATTCTATGTTGAGGCAATCTACTAGCTTTCATTTGATAATTTTTTTTTACTACCGGTATTTTCACGAAGTAGTTTTCGTTGGTAGTTTAGTTTCAAAAATTATCATTTATAAAGAAAATATACTGCAATTAAGTTTTACGTCATTAAATAAACAATGAAACCAAAACGTAAACAACGCTACAGTAAGTCCTAGTTCTATCACAGTGAAACATTAAAAACACCCACTTTAAGTCTCCTAAATTCAATTCGATCACTCTTGTTGCAAACAAGTCGATAACGAAACATATTTAATACATATAACTAACAATTATTTTACAGAATCCTGATAATCGAAATTATAATAATGTTTATAATTTACATAGATATCGAAACAATTAAACATGTACAATTAGTGTATTGCGAATTAATGATCCTTACATGGAATGATCAAATTAATGAAGCTAATGAATCCATACTCGAACATAACTCACGCAAAGGAATAATAACAGCATTGCTGAGATTCTTACGTGTATCGCTATCGGTACAAACTTGTCTAGTGTGATGTAGGTGTAAAGAGTTAAACGTATTTTATTTGTACATAGGGTATATAATTTCGGTCTTGGAAATAATAACATTCGTATAGACGTGTAAATTACCTCTATAAATAAATAAAATAATTGTAATTACATATAACATTTTTCATTGTATTTCAAAATGATTTTACTGATATTTATATTAATTATCTTTTGCATAGTTTTTCTTTCTTTTTATTACACATAATTCATTATAACGTAGTAAAACTAAAATAATATAACAAATTATTAGTCACTGAAAACGAATAGTTTGGCAAAAGTGCTGCGTGCTGGCGTGGATAATTACGAGCAAATGCCGCGTGGTTAAACTTTTAAACAGACTGACAATAAGATCAATTTATGTTCAGTATATCGAGTTAATATACAATACAATCTTTCAAAAATCAGTCTTGTGATACTAATTCAAAAAAGAAAACCGCTAGTATAAAGTATACCATGTTGATTAAAAAGTATATACACATCAAGATTTAGGCGAGGCACAAAGCTCTGATTGAAAAATGAAGATAAATTCCATTTATTAATTGTACAAGTATTGATTTTACCTAAAATAATATTGTTTTTTGATTTAAACAAAGCAAAAAAAAAAAAGAAAACTGTCTCACCTAATTAATTATGTGTCCAAACAGTTTTATTTCTGCAGTATTTATACTTAATAATAATCAAATTGTAGCACAGACAAACGATATTGTGTTAAGTAACCGATATTTAACATTTGTGACTAGACTAAGCTAAGATCATAATTTAATAAGTACGCACGAACCCTCGATCTTAAATAGTACGCATCCGCCAATAAGTAAATAATAAAGATTAAGGTCCAACTGCTAAACGGTTACCAGTTTGGTTTTAGCATATTGGTACCTACTAATATATATATATATATATAAATACCGGTACACGATATGTAAATATGAATCGTAATTATTTATAGATTAAAATAAACTTTTATAAATTTAGCAAAAGACAACTGTAATATGGGATTTTATTATTTGATTCAATCCTATTAAGCTCGGCTAAGTCGTATTATCAAGAAAAATAATTAATATAAATGTTGCTTTAAGTAAGTATACTGTTTTCATGTACAATAACTTATTGCAATAGTAGCATATTAAAGTGGAAAATCTTTGATTTGTCACACAAGACAAAGAATTCACAGCGGCTGTATATCTATGCAATGATTAAGTAAATGTATTTTCACTTTCATTTGAATACGACTGCTCACTTTGACTGCAACCAGTTAATCTTTCTGAATACTGTTACTTCCTTCCTTACAGAGAGCAAACCAAGCACACAGCTAACATAAAAAAAATCTAACTAATAGCTACTATCTTACTAATTCATTTGTAACAATACGCTCCGGGGAAAAGGAGATTGACTTGCGTTTCTATCGAGACGCTTGAACTAAGCCCATTATAATACATTTAAAACATAAATTTTTTATACAATATGCCTAACATTTAAAACCTCATTGTCTATTGTTAAGGTCCACACGTTGAAGGTAAATTTAGTGCCCAAAATACCGATTTTGTAATTGCTAAATCTGTGGCAACCGGCAATTATGAATGATAAAAAATATTCGCTTATAAAACAATATAGATATTAAGTCTAATTACACTTCGTGACAAATGTTAAGAATTTTGGTAGACAAAGTGTAATTGAAGTTATAAAAAATGTAAATCATTCATAAAAGTGCTGCTAACGTAGATGATTATTTCTGTTTACATTGCGACATAAACACCTGACCGTGATACTCCGTTTTTAAGTGAGATTTTGAGAAGTGTAATCTCATCACAAGTCTTGAAATTATATAAAATTAAGTTATTCCAATAAGCGGTTGAAGTGCTTTTAAAACTAAAAGCTTAAGAGCCCACTTTAAGATTAACTTATAACTTGAGGGGATTTGAAAAATACGGAGATATTGTTTAATAAATCAGGTAGCCGTGTGTTGCTCGTAGACGCGGTGCGGTACCAATGGGCGTGGGGCTCGGCATGTGAAGGCTAGCACTGGGCAATGGGCAGTGGTTCGGTTACGCGACGTTATGACTCTGGCGACAAGCGACGGCGGCTACTAGCGCCGCACCACGACCACTACCGTCTTCCGAAAGCATCAAGTCGAACTGTAACGATTAAATAATTATAATTAACGAATGCTAAGCAGGCTGAATCTTAGAATTTATGAGTTAAATGCAACAGAATATTTAAAATTTTGGATGATTCTATTTATGATCATCTTTATCTTTATATATAAAAATTATGTGTCACGTTGTTTGTCCGCAATGAACTCCTAAACTACTGAACTAATTTAAATGAAATTTTGCACACTGTGTGCAGTTTGGTCCAACTTGAGAGATAGGATAGTTTTTATCCTGATAAGTGACACTCAATATTTTTTATTACGAATTTAAGGAATATTTATATGAAGGATCGTTGAAACGGGCAGTACAACATCTGCCTGTCCTGTTAGTATAACTATATAATCTAACTAGCTGAACAGGCAGACGTTGTTCTGCCCTTTCCGACGACCATTTGCTTCCCTAAAAAAAAACTCCTGAGATTAGCAATAAAAATATAGAGGTTCACTTATCGGGATAAAAACTATCCTATCTCTCAAGTTGGACCAAACTGCACAGAGTGTGCAAAATTTCATTGAAATCAGTTCAGTAGTTTAGGAGTTCATCGCGGACAAACAACGTGACACGTAATTTTTATATATAAAGATAGTACATATATAATATTAGGAGAATTATAGTTATTATAATTTTTTTAATAATTTGTTATTACTTATTAACTATTTAAAGTGGCATTCAGCATCTTTGGCCTACAAAATTTATAGTTATCGATGCGTTAGGTCGTACATTTAAAAAAAAATATTTAAGCCTGTTAGAGATAATCACAAAATAACAAAGCAGTGTTTGCACTGCTGTTTTCCTGTTTGAAGTGTATGGGCGCAGTATAATTTCAGACTGTGACTGTGAGGCATTCCATCTTAGTCCTCAGGGGTGACAACATATCTGTAGCCTTCTTTGTTTAAAGTTGGTTGCATGTGTCCATGGAGTGCCGTGGCCACTTACCATCAGGTGGACTGCAAATTTGTTTGTCATTTTGTCAGATTTATAAAAATAAAAACCGGCCAAGTGCGAGTCGGACTCGCGCACCGAGGGTTCCGAACAAATCCGTAGGTATATAAGTTTAAAATGATTAAAAATATTTTTATTATATGATGTAACTAAAAATTTATGCTTTTCGCAATTATTCCTTTATCTGTGCTATAATACGTTGCTTTGTACCAAATTTTAAGGTTCTGAGTTCACGGGAAGTAACCCTGTAGGTTTGATTCTCTTGCGAATGTCGAAAATTTGCGGCATAAACGGCTGTATATTTTAATTGCGTTGGCTTAGAAGTTTGATTTTTTTGACAGCAGCAAGGGACAGTAGACTTGAGTATGTAATTTCAGCTTAATACCTCCACGCGTTCCTGAGAAAAAGGGTCTTGACAGACAGACAGACGGACAATAAAGTGATCCTATAAGGATTCCGTCTTTTCCTTGTGAGCTACGAAACCGGAATATGATAAGGTCCACGAAAATATGATAGGTTTCAAAACTATAAAATATATTAAAAACATCTTATTTTAAATTATGATAAAAATTATTAGAAATATTTGGTTAAGTTCATAATGGTGTGTTTAAATTGTTTCGTTATCTAATATGATTGCCGACGCGACTTGTGATCATTATCTTTCACGTGCTGATAAGTGTAGCCTTATCGCGCGGTGTGAATAACCGTGTTTTATTATTAGTTTATTCTTTTACTGATGGCTGTAAAACAAAGATGGATTTAATGTTACAGCCATCATATTATTGTTATAAAACCTTTTTATGACAACTGAATGTGTTGATAAATTGAATTTTAAAGAAAACAACAGATTAGTGAAAATTAAAAATATGTAGTTTGCAAAAACATCTAATGAAATTCGAATGAAATAGATGTATCGCGTAACATTACATTTTTGTTGTTTATCACATTAAGAAAATACCTACTGTATGCAAAAACATAAATATTGAAAAGTATTTCAAGAATAGTTGCCTAATGGGAGATTTGTATTAAAAGGTCAACGCGTCCGGTTTTGTTCACAAATAAATATGATTATTAATTTATGATAAATTTTGTTTGTCTCTAATAGTAAATTATGAAATGAACGTTGAACCTTAATACTATTGCGAGAAGGGGGCTCGTCTTCGAAACATTTATCAACGGAGATAACAGATTCAACGAAATAATTTTACGAAATGTACAAATAGTTGAGACATTTGAGATATTATTAATTGTACCTGATAGAAAAGCTAATTTAAAAGTAAATAATATGTTTACTTATTAAGGAAGAGGAAGGAGCAATAATAGGCTTAATATTTTCAAGTAAAAACAACAACTCCACGTTTTAAGGTCTTTAGAGGCCGATTAGGCTGCTTTTAAAAGTACATATGTCCGAGTGTACTCTTGTATGGTAATAAATTGGCTTTGTCTTGCATATTGAGATAAAAGGTGAAAAAAGAAATATTGAAAAAATTTATTTGCTCAGTGAATATTTGATGGAACTTTTATAGAGCGGTTATGTGTTTCTACTTCAATGTATTTCCGTTTATTTAAAACGAAGCGTTACAAAATCGATTTATAGTTCATATACGTCAACACCAATCGATTTATAGTTTATTTGCTTACTATAAATCGATTCGACTTGTAAAGAAAAACATCGTGAGGAATCTGCATGTCTGAGAAATAAAATAAAAATATTTCGAAGACATGTGAACCCTCTCAGAAATCAGAGGAGGCCTGTGCCCAGCAGTGGGACGTATATAAGCTGTAACTTTACATTTTTTTACATCAACAGATGGCTTCTGAGATGCAGCATTCTTGAAATAGCAGTATAACCATCTCGTTTACGCCAGACGTAAAATACAGTAGCGTAATGCGTGATGACTAGGTATAAATTTAATTGAAAACAATAAGATTAAGACAAATTCTCCTACAATGGGAGAAGTCCATATCCAGCAATGGACTTTTACGGATCGATGATGATGATAATAATGAAAAAGAAGAAGAAGAAGAATTATCTCTTGCGCAGTTCTTAGATTTTTTTAACTTATTGTAAGCCAGTGCCTGAATGCAATCCCACCTAGTGGTAAGAGGTGAAAAAATCCTAGATAGTAAATCGCAATGTCTTGGCGTAACAAAAGCCTATTCATTCTTGCCTTGAGGACGCCCAGATCTGGACGGAATTCGATGAAAAAACAGACACCTGCAAATTATTCCACTTCTTTGCTGTACGTATTATGAAAGACGAAGCAAGCAGTATAGGAAAGTATGGATGTGATCAACACCGGCAAAAATTACATCGCCGTTCAGTTTACCTGTATGCCGGGTTTCACGAGCTGCGCGATCTTTTCGCACATGAGCGCGTGGAAGTGCGGATGGAAACGGTAAACGGAGCCGTCGATGCCGACAGTGACGCGCGGTTCGCCCATCTTGTTGAGAAGCGTCGCGATGCCGGCCGACACGAGGTGCGCCGCGCGCCGCGACACGCACTCGCACACGTGCCGCACCGCCGCCATGTCCGCCTCCGTCGCGTGCGACAGACCTACACATACAAACAAAACATACACGTAATATAATAACCTAACAACTAAGTGGTAGAGATCCTTTTTCGTCAATCAGTTCTCTGGATAGGTTATATAGAAATAGATTTTTTTTTAAATTCAATAAAGATTTTGTAGATATTATAAAGGTGATAAACGTGCCCACAGTCTACCTGGGGGCTGTAGCCCATAAAATCTTCATTTATACTCTATTAAGAATCAAAACGGAGATGCGTTGTCACCCGTGAGGACTATGATGGAATGTCCCGTTTCCAGTAAAAAAGGTCTCCGGTTCTCTACACTCACTATACAAACACAGCATCATTGCTATATAGCTATATCTGCAGCGTGGCTCTACCACGTACTCGTATAAATAATACTTATTGAAAGTCATTCTTATGTTTAATTTACCACTTCGTCCTGTTAAGAATCACTAAGAAATCTAGTGGGACATTATTATTTGAAAAAATTAATAGTTTACAATCGTGTATTATGTTACCCAATTAACTATACAAAACATATCAGAAGAATATCTTGGTAGAGATATTACATACATTATGAATACCTGCACCCAATTCTAATCAAAGAAAGCTAAATGTAAATTGTCACTCTAATAGTCTACAAGGTGGCATGACATGTACACCTAATGGTTAGCTAGGGTTGGTTGGCTAGGGACAGCAGACTTAATACACAAGCCAGAAACAAAGAAGTACGTTGTTAATTAGTCTGTTGGTTGTGACGACTTTTCTGCTCTACGAGGGCGGCACTGATAATTTCGGGAATCAAGGAAGTGACACAACATTACTATTTAAAAATGTATTTATTGTTTTTTCGAAGTATTCTCCGCGAAATTTGACACATTTTTCCATTCGATGGAACCAATCATTGAAGCAACCATTCCATTCGGAAGTTGGGGTCTCCAAAATGGCCGTTTTGTAGGCGTCCACAGCTTCTTCAGGTGATGAAAATCTCTGTCCACGCAATTTATTCTTTATTTTAGGGAAAGTATAGAAATCATTATGGCTTAGGTCGGGGCTGTACGGCGGATGGTCTAATAATTCTATGTTTTCTTGCTCTAAAAACCCTTTTGTTCTGTGTGCGGTGTGAGGACTCGCATTGTCGTGATGGAGGATGATGCGGCAGTTGCAGTTCTCTTTACGGGGTTCAGAAACGACCTGTGGCAAACAAATGCTAGCATACCATTCTGCATTAACCGTTCTTTGTCCCTCAAGAGGAATAGTCGTAACATGGCCGGTTTCGGAGACAAACGTGGCCACCATTTTTTTTGCAACACTTCGTGAACGAACAATTTTTTTGGCTTTAACTCATTTTCGAACACCCAAACTCGTGACTGGTTTATTGTTTCGGGTTCGTACGCGTATATCCAGGATTCGTCACCTGATACAATGTTGTATACAGCATTTGACGATCCTGTGTGGAATCTTTCGAGAGTTCTGACGCACCAAGTAACGCGAGCCGCTTTTTGCTCTACACAAAGCGAATGCGGTATCCATCGGGAAAACAACTTTTTTACACCTAATTGTGCATGCAAGATTATTTGTATTTGACTCATGCCAATGTCTAAAGTTGCCTGAATTTCGCGGTATGTCACATGTCGATCTTCCTCAATCAGCTTACGCGCAGCATCAACGTTTTCTTGGGTGACTGCAGTTTTTGGAAGACCTTGACGGGGATCATCACTGAGCTTGACACGTCCACGTTGAAATTCAGCAAACCAGCGATAAATTGTGGTTTTGGATTGGGCTTCATCACCAAATGCAGAAATCATCCGGTCAACACACTGTTTTTGTGTTAAACCACTTCGAAAGTCATAATAAATCATCGCTCTTGAATTTTCTCGAGTCAATTCCATTTTCTCAACGACTAAACAAGTTTGACAAAACCTTGTGACAAGACCGAGAATCTTTATAAATAAATGGTATTCGATTTTTAAAACCAAGGAGTTTTCAATTAAAAAGATTTTAATATGACAGGAACAGTGGAAATATTCCATTCCCGATACTTTTAGTGCAGCCTATGTATGTGTTCTGTGCTATTATGCCGGCCATTGGTGTAATATATATATATATATAAATAGACGTATAATCGGGTTAACTCTACAATGTTAATAATGCAATAGCATGTCGGTATCAAGTAGACATATGTTCAGAATTGATCGTTTAGTTGAACATATTTTGTGACAAAAATTATCATACCCATTTAGAGTAAAATTGTCTTGGGTTCAAGCAATAGAGACCTTAGAGACGTGGTAACCGTTAATTGAGTTTTAAAATATTAAAAAAATTAAAATTAAAAATCCATTTACATATTTCTTTCTCAAGACATACTAAATAATAAAGTAATTGGAGCCTCCTAGTAAGTATAAAAGAATACCTGTGTCAGGAGGCACCGCTCTTCCTAATAACATTAAATATTGAGATAAGCCGAGCAGGATTACCTATGATTTAGAGTAGGCGTGTGTGTACGTGTGTGTTTTACATTGACACATTTTGTATGACTGATATTCTACTTGCTAATCTGTTACTTTATTTACATATAGTGGTATTTTTACGTGGTAGAGCCACGCTACAGCTATATTAGTAGTATAGTTGTAGCACGAATGGGTCGGCTCGACCGGGGAATGACCACGCTCTCACAGAATACCAGCGTCAAATAGCAGTTTAACACTGCTGTGTTTCGTATGGTGAGTGTAGAGAACCGGAGACCATTTTACTGGAAAAGAGGCATTCCATCTTAGTCCTCACGGGTGACAACGCATCTGCGTTTTGATTCGCAAACGAAGATAAATGTAGATGTCTGTAGGCCACAGCAACCACTTACCATCAGGTGGATTGTGTGCTCGTTTGTCACTCGATCCTATAAAAAAAATCAATATCTGGTGTAGTAATACGCTAGAAAAGTAAAATACTTTTTTACAGTACGTATCTAGTAATACAATTTTAAAACGACATATTATTTCATTTATTCATTCATTACAGCCTCTCTGAACGTAGGCCTTCTCCATAGATTCCCTATCAAGAAGAATATTTGCCATAGTTGCCACGCTTGGCTGGCGGGTTGTTTTTATTATTTTAAGTTGTTATAACGCAGAAGCTGCTGCCCACCCCCTCTTTCAGTTTTCCTGCGTCGTATCTTACAACACTCGCGGGTTGATATAGGGTATAGTGAATTTTATATCACCGTCACTTATTTTTAGTATTAAGGTCGATTTTAAATGTCATTAACTAATAACTTTTAGATATAAAATAAGCAGTACTAATTTAACTGTTATACAACTATTCAGAATTATATCAATAGGTATTTCAGTTAACAAATCTAAAATTTTTACATTTTAAAATACCTAGTAAAGTAAAGATACATTATCATTTTTGTTTCTTACGTGGACGATGACCTGGAATGACGTACTTGTCATTAATAAATACATAATATAAAATGTTTAAAGTCCACTATAAATGATAACTGAGCGATTGACGTCCATATTGCGTAGTCATAGATTCTTTGTTGATTCTAAATTGTATGTAATATGTATGTAATTGACGTTTTGGTTAAGTCAGAAAATGCTTTAAATTTAGAAAAGTGTTACATGATTTTTGCTGAATTGTTAACAGATTTTTGCAATTTAAATTTTTCATTTGATTTCGTAATAGTTATTTTATTGTAGATAGGTACCTAATCATTCGAGAAATCAGACAATTAATGTTAGCTACTGAACATTCGCGCCGCAGAGTTTTACTTTATGCCTACATCTTCAGTCATTAATCTAAGTAACAGAACACTCTTCCTTTGTTCTGTGCTCTTAATGGTTTGCCTTGGCTTACGGCCACCTGTGTATTGAAGTGTAATGGTTGATACTGCTACCGATAGGAGAATTCATAGGCCGCGACGGGAAATGTGCGTGTCATCTGATATCGCCAATCCACGTGTCAAGCGAGAATTTTACGGCAAATATTTGTCCTTCACACTGATAGTTTCCAGTGTTCAACAATAAACTTGAAGAAGTAGACGTTACGAAATAAGAATAAGTTTACGTAAATATACAACTATACGTAATACTTATGCTTACTTTTAAGTTATATTGATATTATGTTAGGTTTCGTATTATCTTTCATATACTTTATGTTATAGAGTATCATTTTACGAGTGACATGAATATACCTATAGAATTTTTTTAATGTTGTACAGTCTTACATTGACGTTACGACACAAGTAACGAGATCACGCGATATTATCTAAGTACACTGATTATGTAATAAATATTCAAAGCGTTCGTACACGTTCGTCTTTGAAACGTCACACGTTTATTAAAAAAATCTATTTTGTGATATCAAAGATTATATCAAAATGTCTATTTGCATAACGACCACAGTTTGACTAAGCCTATAGAAATAATAATAAAGTAGCGCCAAGATTGAAGAAAAATAGTCGGTAGGACTGATTTTCTGACGAGGAGGTCGTGTCGAGGGTAGATTACTAGTTAGTAGCAACTCTATAACCTAATTTTGTCGTCATGCAGCAGTGGCAGCAGCAGACGGTTCTTTATACTATAACTGCAGGCTGAGATGCATTCCACCTTGGGCCTCGAATGTGACAATGCGTCTGTAATCTTTCTTTGTTTGAAGTTTTTGGATGTGTCTATAGGCTGCAGTAGCTACTTACCGTGAAGTTCTTTTTTTTAATTTATTGTTAAAAAAATATCTTAGCATTTCTGTTATGTAATACTAGCCATCAGCCCTGGCTTCGCAAGTAGGATCTATTAATATAGCGTAATTTAGATTCAAGATAACCAAAAACCATTTTTTTATCAATTTCGTTTTTTCATCATATTACGTTTTTCGGATAAAATATAGCCCAGATCACACCTGGCACTGCTCTAACAGACGTGTATGCAAATAACCTCCTCAGCTTTTTATTTAATATGTATTGATAGTCATTTTTCATTAAAGATTTACTTGTTGTCAAAATTTTAGTGTCACTATACTCCTATGCAGAGTAATCTCTATCTATATCTAGTCTGAAATTGCCTCGACCATGATGTAAATACAAAATACCGTTGCGTCTACTTTTGGACCAAATTGATCCCACGGTTACCTAAGTTATACGACTGTGTAAATTATTTTGGAGTTAAAAGCGTTTTGTATCGTGGGACCCAACAATTTTTTTTTAACATTAGAAAGATTTCGACGATTTATTTTAAGAAGATTTGGTGTTATAATGATCTTGGCTCGTCTGTTTAACGCCGACACCGACAAAGCGTGACTGATGCAGTTTGTTGTAACTAACTGTGCAGTAACCACACATAATTATATTGCATTGTTTTAACGATTGAAGGTTTAACACCTCCGTTTTAATTTAACTAACTATATAGCATATTTTTGTGTATTTATAAGATCCACTAACGGGCACTGTATACTGACTACATTTTAAACAGATTATTGTTACTAATGTTTGACGATTCAAATTTAGACTGAAAACATTTATTAAATTCTTTTAAAATTGTCAAATTGCGATGCTAGAGAATATTAGTGTCAAAATATAAGGATCCTATCTAAATATATATAAGCGAAATACCACTGACTGACTGATTCATCACGAGATATCTAAATCTATACACCCGATTGACTTGAAATTTAGTATAGTTAGTTATTTCGCAATTTAGGCGCTCACTAAGAACGGATTTTACGGTAGTCCCATCAAAAAAAAGTAACAAATACAAATTAATGAATTACTAGCGTCTATTAAAATGAAGCGTCATTTAAAATAACACAATATTTCTTTAATGGCAAGATAAGAAAGAGTGCGAGGGAGATGAAAATTATTTCATCTCCCTTCTACGCTACGTCAGAAGGAGTCGTGACGGAAAAATCTTACACCTTTTTGTCGCATAGCCCCCATCCGCCAAATCTGTACCGTCCGAAAAGGAACTTCGTTACAAAAAATGTTCCGCGAGTTCCGCGATAAAATATTATCTTGCGCCCAGCGAAACGAGCAGCTATCAGCTAGTACCTTATAATAGGAGCCGGGTTTCAATGCGATTTCGGTAGACACCAAACGGTTAAGTGGACTCGTTGGATACGTTTATAAAATGCTAACTCACCAAGTTCCTCAAGCACATCCATGCAGCTGCTATAGTCCCCTAATTTGTCCGACTCGATTTCGGAGACGTATTTAGTGTAGAAGCTGCCTCTCTCGAACAACAAGTCCGAGCCGTGACCACCAAATAACAGGCCCATTCGTGTGAACTTAACTAGCGCGAGGCGCACCAGTTCACCCATATACATGCCTGATATCATCTTTTCCTGTCTGAAATATAATCAATCGATTTATCATTGATAAATGTTTAAATTTTTTTAATATTCTTATCGCATTTTTACGATATGGCAAGCACGAATAAGTTATTGTTTGTTGCAAAAATTTTAAAATTAAAACTTGCAACATCCGCAGTCACCTTAGACCATATAAAACCTTAACGTTATCAGGAAAACGTGTTACTGCAATTTTTGATAAATAAGTTCGTTCTATTAATTTTTATTACAATTCATTCATTAGTCCATATTTTCATAATATATAATATTAACAATAATTTTCTTTACGCGGTAGAGCCATGCTGTAGCTATATTGCGGTTGCAGCACGAATGCAACCGCAATATAGCTACAGGTCCTTCCCCGGTCGAGCGGTCGGCTCTCACAGAATACCAGCGTAAAATAGCAGCTCAATGCTGCTGTGTTTTGTATGGTGAGTGTAGATAACCGGAGACCCTTTTTACTGGAAACGAGGCATTCCATCTTAGTACTCAGGGGTGGCGGCGCATCTGCATTTTGATTCTTAATTGAGGATAAATGTAGATGTCTATAGGCCACAGTATCATGAGGTGGACAGTGTGCTCGTTTGTCACCCTGACTCTAATAAAAAAAATATGTAAGCTTTAGGCTTGAGTGAAATTAGACTATCTATTGGCAGAATTTGCTTACCCTAGTGGCGTGCATATGGAAAAGGCGTTTATTACATACATATTTCAAAAATCTAGTTTGCGATACAAAGAAAAACTTGCTTAGTCATATTTATGTTTCATATTAGAGGATTTTGGAGTTGATTTTAATTACGGTCTTTGGAAACGTTATATATTACATTTTTTAACCATTCTAAGCCTAATTGACTTCAGACTTGACCTTGACGGAAGATTGTAAAGCACACTGATTTGGATTAACGAATTTTTTTTTGTAGTATTAATAATTATGCTTTGGTTAATTTTGATTTATTAACTTATACTTTAGGATATTGTTTAGTTTTGTGCCCGCTTTATTATATCTATTGCATAGGTATTTCTGGAAATTCTTCGAGCCTGCTTAGTACGTTGGCATTTTTTATTATAAGAGTGAGACGAGAAACGATTTAAGCGAAGGATACGTTATCATACCCGAAAACCAAGATGAAATGCATCACATCCTATAAATAAAGTGGCCATCTACTCTTTAAACTAGTTGTTCACCGCGACTTTGCCCGCGTGTAATTTAGGGTTTTAATTATATTGCTCACAACCCTAATTCTTTTTCTCAAATATAAGAAGCCTAAGTTACTCCTTAGAATATCAGCTACCTGGCAGTGAATGTTCCGTCGAAATCGGTCCAGCCGTTTCGGAGATTAGCCGGAACAAACAGACAGACAAAAATTTAAAAAATTGTGTTTTTGTTATAAGTACCGTATATACTTTCATATGCATTTAGTAAAAAGCTGTTATTTTAACATTATAAACAGACACTTCAATTTTATTTATTTGTATAGATAATACCAAAAAAATCTAGACTCCTAGGCAGAAAAGTAGGTAGGGTAAGTACCTAAGATGGTAGGGCTCCCTACTTTTTTTTTAAATACTAGTAATGCTATTAAACATTACTAATATTCCCTTAAACCACTTCTGGTAAGCTTAAAATGCTTGTGTTAGAAGTGGTTCACGACAAAAGTCGAATGGCGGATTCGAACCCACGACCTTTCGAGTTCGCGGTCCGCGCCCTGCCATTAGGCTACTGACGCTCCCTACTTAGCAAATCATCAAATAACATAGCATATAAATGCTACATGGAGATTTAAAATTATGAGCAAAATTATTTGTTAATCTCTAAAGCTTATCTACTTAAATGGTCTACACTAACACACAGTTGATGACCAGCAAACAATTATCTTATCATTAGTATACTATTTGGTCAAGTATGACGCAGAAAATGATGTAACTTTAATATATTTTTTTTGCATTGCGTCTGCGGGCCGCGTGTTTTATTCTCTAACAGAATGAATATTGGTATAGTCTACAAAAATAATTCTTACGGGTCTAATATTTTGTAGAAGTGAAGTACATTAGTATGAAAAAGGGGTCCATGCTACAGGAGAAGTACCTGGTGTGGAGGTAGCGTTTATCAAATCTGTTGATGAATGATAAAGACGTACACACGCACACACACTCACACACATGCACGCACGCACACACACACGCACACACACACACACACACACACACACACACACACACACACACACACACACATACACACACACACACACATACACACGCACACGCACACACTACACAGCTATTATGAGGTTTTTTTTTGCATCAGTGTAGTAAATATAATTAAAAAATATTAAAACACGTAAAAGAAACAAATGTTTAACTTACATTTGTTTACCCGGATTGATAGAGTTGGTATCAACTTCACGGTCGAACTCAGTGCGTACAAAGTCCAGAGTGCCATCGTCTCCGAATGCACCCCACTCCGTGTTGATGAGTAAATCAGGCTTGCCAGGCTCGCCATCAAACAACTCACAATTCTCAGTCTTTTCTACGTAGCAAGCGTTACTTCCGGTTCCTATTGTAGTAAAAAAATGTTTTGACAAATGCATTTTAATATCATCAATCAAATCTTAAGTTAGCACTATAAAATTACAAATCAACACTCAAATTCTTATAACTATAGATTTAGAAATTTAGTTTTTATGAGAAGCAGCTGTAACCAAAACCATGTATTATAGACAGATGTGGCACCATGCATTTAAAATAAAAAAAAAAAAAGGTTAGTCGTGCTGCATGCTTTAGTTGATGTGAGAAATAGAGATGAATTAACGATTCGTGCATTATTATGATAAAACTGTGTAGACGTAAAATGATCGGTCAAATGTCCATTCCCCATGATAAATGACCGTAAAACGTAAACGGTAGCGATTCTGTGTTACTAGTTTAAAAAAAAAAAACGGTGTGATCGACGAACAAAAAAGCGAGCTAAAACCGTTATAAGTAAATTTTTTATGTATTTTTTGTTAGTTTACTTTGATACTCACTAAACAAACGGTGGAATTTATGAAAAAAAAATAACTACGAACTACACAAAACTAATTGCAACTAAACAAACGTGATACGAATATCTGAATTGTAAAAATTGTGAATTCACTAATAAAAAAAACTGCATCATTACTGAAAAAAAAAATCTTATGTTTACGCTTTATTTAAGTCAGTAGTCTTTCTCAAACCATTGTGATGAATAAAACATGATGACAAGCAAACCACACATATTACCAAACCGTCATATTCAATTATAACCTACCAACAATGAGTCCTATTTTGCAGTTGTGATTTTTCCACGCACAAGACATCAACGTGCCCGTAGTGTCATTGAGTATAGCGCATATATCAATCTGTACGTCCTACAAGAGTGAGAAAACATGCGATTTTAAAAAAGGACAGTCGTTCTATTCCATATGAGTACACCCTCGAATGTTGATGATGATTATAGAGGATTTCAACAATTTTCAATTTAAACATATTATGTTCATTATGAATTTATAGTTGGAGTCCTTCGCGACCATAGCGACTTACGTCACATAGCGGAAATGTTCAGAAAACAAAATTATTTTACCAAGTTTTAGTATTTACATACATATTCATACATATTATATCATACATGCAAATCGAAAAGTATTCTAAATCAAAAATAAATACGTATCGAGGTTTTCCTAAGATTAATAAGTCACCCATTTTATATGTAAATGGCTATTTTAAATTTAACACTAATAAGACTAGAGTAACTGTTAGATTGTCGATTTATATAAATTATTTAAATATGTAGCAAGGTGAGAGAATAGTAAGCCTTAAATTCATAGCTTAATTATACACAATGTTTATTTACTTTACTTTCTTACAAATCACAGTATCCGTGTAGGTAAACTAAAACAATCAAAACGGGAGTGTTGTAAAATAAGCTGAAAATTATGATAAAATATAATAATAATAGATGCATACTTATACAGAATTATTATAATTAGTTGCAGATATCTAAACAATAGATCATAAATGTTTAGTCTTATTACTAACAGTAACTTAAATATTTCTATGTCACATATAAAAAAGAAAACGATGTATTGTTTTTCGTCATGTAGGTAAACAAATTGTAAAATTAGCAGGAAAAAACGACAACAAGTAAAAGTGCCGAGAAATGTCTGTACCTACTATTACTGTACTAAAATTTTGTTCCAAAAGTGACACATCTAATAAAATGGGTTTTTCACCCCTTTAAAATATAACAGTAATTTCATAAAACATACGTTATATTAATTCTTTGTATTAGCAGTGATTATAAAATGAACACAATATGCCTAATTTTAATGTTATTGAAAGCCTCTATTGGCTCTCATATCGGCTCCAAAAAGTCATGCCTTACAACGCTAGAAGAGAGCGGGCTGGAATCATCGTCAACTCACCGATAATAATTCCTACGCGACAATAGGGGTTCTTATGTGCGCACGACATAAGAGCCCCGCTTGCATCATTAAGAATGCCCATCACGGACAATGAAAGGTCCTGGAAAAATGTTGTTCTCTTAACTTCAAAAATGTTACAGTTATTTTCAAATAATTCCATAATTATTAAATTGACGGAGGTGGTTCATAATTCGCAATAATTAATAAATGATTATTAGTTAATCATTTATTATACATGTTTGTACTACAGTTGTATATGTTTTATTAAATGCAATAATTTTCGTATAAAACAACATGCTCTAGTATGTTTCCTTTCAAGATTAAGTGGAGCTGCAAGAAGGTCGCTCAGTATAATGTTTAGAGTACTAAGTGCTAATATGGTTATTTTTATAAGTTATGACTGAAGTAATGAGATGATCTTTACAAGTTATATATAGTTAAACAGTAAAATAATGTCTTTGACCGGAATTCGGTCACGGCGGACAGTCTCATCGGAGACATCAGCACAGGCCAGGATTATAGTGCACCAGTGTATGCGCTAGCCCAGGTGCACTCTCTCTTCCCTACTCTCATGTCGGTTTATTTACTCATATGCTCTCATTATCTGATGGGACGGCATTCTGAACGACCGCAGAGATTAGGCGCAGGGCCAACGGCTTTACATGTTTTCCGAGACACGGGGGGTAAAATACCACCAAATTCTCGCCTCCGGGTTGCTACTAAGAATTTCTTGGCAGAAAAACAATAACTGATTTTGGCCCGACCCGGATTCGAATCTGGGACCACATGATCAGCAGCCGCGCTTACGACGACTAGACCAAAGAGGCCGTCATTTTACGATAATATACGTATCATGCATCTTATGGCATTATAAACTAACGCACACTGTCGGGCATGACATTGCAAATATATGAGGGGTATTAAATTGTATTGTTTGTTATAGTTCTCTCTATTATATAATTTTCAATAACGCTAGATATATAAAGTATTCTTTATTTAATTTTGTTTATTTTTCATAGAATATATGATGTGTGCTCCACGTGAGTGACCAAGCTGAACCCTGGACCCCTTTGTTTAAACTATCTAAGGAATTAATTACTTTAACTTGCACTTTTCTTCGTAAGTATGTATAATGATTTTAGGAAAAAAATCATCTATTATTATTATTATTACTTACACGATTTAAAGCATTTTCAAGCGACTACAAAACAAGGAGGACGTTCTCAATTCGACTTTATTTTTTATTTACTTATTTTTTGTTTTACCTCATAACTTTTTTTAGGTGAACCGATTTTGATGATCCCTATTTGAAAGCTGGTGCTTCTCATGTGGTCCCATTATTGATGCTATCAATAATGACTGTATTGTAGCGATTTTTATTTTCATTCAAAATGAATACTTCATTTACAGAGGTTCCATATAAATTAGAGAGCTGCTCTGATTCGTTACAGAAAAATTTAATATATGGTAGTTAAAATTAAACATATTTCCTTTACAATTAATCAAGCGTCCAAGAAAATGTTGTAGTATACTTGATAAAGATATCTTAAGTATATAATTGCAAAAACTAGGGCCATTTCCTATTGCCAAATATAATATAATTTATTTTAAATGATAAAGCTATTAAATAACTTACCCCTCGTCTTGCTATAGCATCTTTGAGTCCTTGCACTACATCCTCCCCAACCACACCACTGCAAGAGAAGCCTTTGGTCCAACGTTGGAGAATACCCTTCGTGAGTCCAAGCTGTTTTAGTGGGAAACTGAATGTGAACCCAAGTGCCAAACGCTCTTCATATACATTGTGCTCCTTAAATGATTTTTAAAAGAATTATTATAAAGAGCTATAAAATACATCAAACAAATATATTAATTAATTTAACATACCTTCATGAAATTTGCTAAACATTCGGCTATATGGTCAAACAGGGCGACGCCTGTGCCGGTCATGATATGATTTGGGATGGCATAAATTTTCGACTGCATGTCGAAATGATTCTCGCCGAGGTTTATGATTAAAACTCTAAAGTTAGTTCCTCCTAAATCCAACGCCAAAAATTTACCTCGCTCTGAAATCATATGAACAAAAATTTTTACTAGGTATAGATTAAATTGTAGAAAGTTTACAAAAAAGTTGCTGATATTGTAAAAAAATGATGGTATTATTGAAAAATATATATTGTTTTATATATGCTATTATGTATTATTGACGATTATCCTTTTTTGCTTTCGATCCTTTTATAGATAACTGTTCCTTTCCAGTGTAAGCGATAGGATATGACCGGATTACTCTATAGACCAAAAGATATTAATGTCTGGGAAAGAGTTAAATACAATAACAAAAATGTAGGAATAACAATTTAATTCTGATTTTAAATCTAACATTATGCATCTGTTTAGTTTACGTTTTGAACTTAGCAGCTGCAATAAGGAGCCGCTATTATGCTGTACTTCCAAGTTTGTTCCAATACAAATTTAACATGCGCGTCATGATAGGTACAATGACGCAGCAACAGTCTGCAATTAGTACCTACCTCGATTTTACTGTTTTCCTCATTACATTTTGGTTTTCTATTTAAAAATATAATATTTTGTCGTCTTGTAAAATATTATAAATAATTTACATTAATAAATAAAAATATGAATAAGAGATTGACAAAAACATTTTTAAGTATTAACGAGCTATATTTACTTACTGAAATCTTTTGTTATAAGATTGGTGAATTGATAGTATATTTGCATTTTGCAATCAGTTGTCCTGTTTTTTCTATTTGTTACGAGGCCTTAATAAAATTATATTCTAATTATTACACACTAGCTTAATTAATAAAATTACCTTTGCCATTCGGTAAATCCTGTATGTATGTTATCCAACACTTTACAATTGCATTGGCATGAGTGTCTTTACCAAGCCCCTTAAGCAAATCATTGTGTAGTCTGCTCATTATCTCCCTAATTTGTTTGTCTGACAGGTGAAAGACCTCGCATTCTTCGCGGATCTGAGTAGAAGAAATTTTTTTTATTAATAAGAACTTGTTCTTAAATTCAACGTAGGTTCGTAGGAAAATATTGAATGTTTAGGTGATGGCTATCTATTTGGTTCAATAAAAAAAAACATAAAGTTTTTATGAAACAGATAATAATTTATATCGGTATTATAATTAAAAATTTACATACGAATCAGGAATTTCATGAATTTTACGTGTGTAACGGCCGCGCATTGAACAGTAAGTCAGTTAAGGTTAGTAAGGTTAGCATAATAATTTTACGCGTCTATTACAATAGTTAATAAATATTATGCATTAAATATGTATTTTAAGTAAAGAATAAATGCTATATATATTTTAATGAACCTACTGCAAGTGCCGCAGGATCATCTTAAACTATATAAAAATATGGCACACGTTAGAGTGTAAATTTTATTGCTTTAAATTATTTTATATTAAATATACAATTGCGAAATGTCAAGGTAGTCCATAAAATGCAATTTCCGTGCAAACGAACTAGCTGAAGCGGGCAAACCGTCCATTATCGCGAACGAGTTCCACAAGGTCAAAGCGGTCATTACAAACTCTCTACTACTTTGCTTATGTTGCTTTCCCATCAATTCACAACCGGCAAACACTTAAAAGTAATGCTTATGTAACAGGAAAATATGTTTAAGCACTTATGTACTCACCTCTGGTAAATTATTAATGGCCATACCCATTGTGCTTATATTGATTTATAAAAAATATCGAATTATTGCACACTGCACGTTTTGTCGTCTACAACACGACTTACCTAACCAACTATAAAATGAGGAATACGACGCTGCTCTGACGGTCGAATGTGCTTCATACTCAACTGAACTAGCTAACGCGCACGTTTCATTCATGATAATAAACTGTTGTTATCTCACTCTCGTGTGCCAATATCCTACGTGCAAGAGTAGTGTAACTACCGGTGTCTAATTAAATAACATAAAAATATTACTACAATTGCACTGACTGATTATAATTGCCGTTCCGGTAAGGATTATTTGTTTTTTTTCTTTGAAATATGGTTTTAACGGTTCTCTAAAATTTACCAGCAATAGCATAATGCTGTTTATCTCTACTTCCTCAGGCGCGCCTCTTGATATATGGATCCGATTGGCTGACGCGTGGGCTTGTTCGTGACGTCAGTCGAATTCCTCGAGTCGACGTCTTTCTATATTTACAATTGCATTGGTCTGGGTAACAAGCAGTGGTGGTGTTAGTATTTCAGATTTAGGTGGATATTGTCATTCCCTGATGTGGCACAATATAATGTGGATAAGACATAATAAGGCTTTTGTCTTTAATAAATAGTATGTACACTAATATTTATTTTAAATTTTTGTAGGGGTTTTCAGTGCCATTTCTTGACAATCATAGCTTTTTATACCTACTTCGTTTTACTTACATGTATTACACCAAAAAGATTTTGAATAATTGAAAAAGCTTAGGTAAGTTAGAGCATTAAACATTCAAATAAGAATTCAGAATTTATTACCGCCAGTGCTAACATTGATCCTCGTTCAAAAATCACAAGCAAAAATCCTAATAGGTACAAACTATGTAAAAAAGTATACATGAATAATATGATTTACAAATTTCACTAAGACCATGATACTAGATCCGCAAAAAGCTGTCAACAGATCATAATAACAAAATAAATATCTAGTTAATAATAATTCGATAGGGATGCAGTTTGTCTCAAATAGCGCGTATTCAGATTACGTTATCCTGTATCTGTTGTTTACGGTTAGTAAACAGATAGATTTGTGTGAAAGCTCATTCATACGTTTATTTTCATAAATTGAATTGCGACCAGTTAATACCTAGATAGATTTGTAAAAATTCAAACGTCTCTTAAACACGCCAAAAATTAAATTTGATTATAATTGGAGTTATGCTTTTAAAATATAATTGAATATAGCATTCGTCCAAATAATCGATAATTGTAATTTTAAAACGATTCCGGTTGATGAACTTCAAATATTTTACGTAAGTTAGAATAGTATAATTTATAAAGTAGAATAGAGTATGTTAGGGCTGAATCTAAATGACGGTGAGAAGAGTGTGGTTTGCAAGATGATATTGTGACCAGGATTCAGAAAGGAATGTTTCGGTCCTTTGGTTATGTAGAAAGAATGAATAAGGAAAGAGTGATAAAGCAAATTTATGATGCAGAAGTGAACGGCAGAGCCTTGAAGGGACGCCCTAGGAGAAAGTTTATCGACCAAATTGGCGATATATTGAAAATTGGTCAAATTAAGAGTTTTCTTAACCGATGAGCATGTATGCGTAGGTGTATGGATGTGGAGGAGGCGAGAAAGGTGAATCGGCATCTTGCCAAGTGGAAGTCCGTAGTCTCTGCCTACTCCTCTGGGTGACAAGCGTAAGTGTTTATGTATGTATGTATATTTGAATAGTCTCGTAATAGAAATATATTTTAATTATGCAATTACCTTGTTCTAACATTCGTTATTCTGTAATGCCAACGCCAATAATAATAACAATAAGTAGGTACCTTAAGTTAACACTTTTCTAACTATATCATTGGATAGATGTGAATTTATATTATTAACATAAACATTTGCCGCTTTTCCGATTTTATTGACTTGTAAGTCAAGTGTAAGGTACTCGGTATGCAGCACAAGCCATCCAACCCATACATAGTAAGACAGGATGCAATGACCTGTGACGTCAAGGCCGACTACCGGTACCTATTACTAATTCATTTATCGATGAAATATGAGCTTAATACACATTACATAAAGTGTATAATAAATGTGTATGTATTAACAAAAATAATTGCAGATATTGTCTCGTATGGTGCTCCATTTTATGCCTAATTGAGAAACAAAATATAGCTGAAAACAGAGTAATTGTGGGACATACAACATAAAAAAAAAAACAAATAATGCTCTGTGATACAAGTAAATTCAAATTCAATTAATATCAGCGCAAAGTTGTTCAGAAGTTTGGTAGAGGTAGACCTTCAGATAGACCCTGTGATGTACTGTTTACATGCCAATGATGACAAAAACGTCGTCAATGCGTCGAATTTTCTAACTAAAAATTTTACGGTAAAAATTTTCTAAATTTAAAAGTCGGTATGATATTTTATTTTCGTACGCCTCGTGTCAGACAGGACTAACGCACTCACAAACACTTTCTTGGCAATGTCCCTTGTAAGTGTTGTTTATTTTTGACTATCTCGTGATGGCTATTGTATTTAGCAAAAACAAAAACAACCAACTAATTTTTAAAGTAATTTAATGAAATAAGGACTTAACTACACACTGCACTGTTATGGTGTTTGGAATTTCGGGAATTTTATTTTTGATCGGAATTTCGACAATAGCTAACACTATCGGAATCGTATATATCGTAACTGCGAAATGAAATAAATAAGCTGTAAATACGTTTCTTTGTTTAACAATAAACTATGCAAACCATGAAATAGTTAACCCTACAAATTTACCGACTGTTCATTAGAATAGTTAAAAATGTAATTTTAATTGGTTTGCCTTTTTATTTAATATCTTTTATTATTTATTTAATAAGTAATTATAGAATAGAATAGAATAATTTTTATTCAATATATATTACATGTGTAATTCTTATTGAAAGTCATTTTTTACTTTACCACTGGTTCATAATATATAAAATTTTTAGTTTATAATATATAAAATAAACTGTTCGCATTAAGAAGCTAAGAAACTACAAAGATAAACTATCTACTGACCACTAGAAACTGATTTTGTTAGAATAGGTCTGCAGATTAATAATTTACCTAACATACATACCTGAAATCTCAATTTTATACACGCTTAGGAAATTTTATTAGTAGCTACTGTCATTATTATGTAATAAGATATGACACAATTTGGTGTATTGAGAAAATAACTACAATCAAAGAAATCTAAAGCAGTATAATTTTTCTGATACCAGCCAACAATTTGTTCATTAATTTTCAGTTAATGTTTTAAATATAACATTCCTAAAACTTTTAAAGTCGTACTTGAATTGATAATATACATTCCAAAATCTGTACTAGCAGACAGCTTTATCACGCTCATCCAGCCTGAAGTATGCCGATAAAGTTGCGGAACCGTTTTTATAGATACTGGTTTTAGCCGTACACTCACTGATAGCTCGTTATCTTAAACAAAGACCTATAAACTTTCCATTAAAGCCTTTAATATTCTAACAGTTCAGTAAAATTTTAATTTATTGATGATAGTAATTCTAAGGATAAGCATTTAACCGCATAGTGGCGGTGTAAGAATTTTCACTGTTCCATGTCAAGGCAACGATGCCAAATATCCCCCGTATGATGCAATTATAAGGGAGGTCTATGTTCAGCAGTGAACTTTTTATAGACTGTAATGGTAATGGTATGGTTCTAACATTGCTTTCTTGCTACTCTTATCATTAAACATAATTGACGCTTTGAATAATGTTATTCAATAAACCTTTATAACGCTGCCCAATCAAATTGATGTACGACTTTTTTTTTTGAAGAGATTTAATTATTATACCTTAATTCACTAAGTTTTTTTTTTCAGTTAAATGTGTGTCTAACAAATTATCAAATCGTTTGTGTAACTTCATAAAACCAGTTAAACGTGGACAAGTTATTGAAATCATGTGCTATATTTACTATTTGTGTACTATTGCTACACAGTAGTTTTAATCCATAGTTCATTCCTAGAAATAAGTATAGGGCGGAAATAATTTAAACCAATAGTAGGTAAAAAACCTCACTTGTTAAGATATTCCTTCATTCTGAGTATTAAATGATTTAAAAATAAGAAAATTAGGTATAACTAAAGATAAAGTATCAAGTTAATAACTTCCGAACTCTACCATTTACGCTCTACTATGTACTTAACATTGCTACCGTTTATGCTCTACCATTGCTTTTGACTCTATTAAAAATGATTTAAATTACCAATTTATAAATTCAATCATGTTAATATTCCCAATTTTAGTTGAGGATAAATCCTTATTCTAATTTGATAAGAATGATATTTTATTAGACTAACTGTAATAAAAAGTCTATGAATTAATGTAGCCTAAATATCGATTGATCATAAAATTTAAGTTTTCTTTCGTATGTAGAGAAACTGAACGATTAGAATGGTTATATGTTAGATTCTGATTTACATAAGTATATTAATTAATATTAGAATATATCCGAGGTTTATTTTCAGCTGTGGACATTGATAGGCTGTTATTATGATGAGGGTTTAAGATACTTCAAAAATTGTCTGTAGTAGTAATAAATAGTAGAAAACCGACAGTTTAAATGCTAATTTATGCAGACGTTTATAATTATATAAAATTTGATATGTTAATTCGGATTTCTTTAGAAAAAGGTTTACATTACTTATAAAAACCTTAAAGTTGTTAAATAATGAGCTTAATTAATGATTTTCCTGATTTTTATTTTTGTATTCAATAGGTATAGATTTATAGCATTGTTGTGGATATAAGTAAGCCCCTATTGGAAATTTTTAATATTATAGCAAATATTTGACATTCTAATACTCACGATGTCTCGTACTTGACGCATATCGATTCGTCTTGTCAGTCGCGACGACCGAGATAGTAGGTGATGAACGAGTAGCGTTGGCGTCCACAGGGTGCTGTCATAAATTCCACTGGGCACAGAGATATGGCTGATATTCACGTT